GGCGAAAAGGGCAGCAATTGGGGCTAAGGGCGGTGACGATCGAAGCGGAGAAGGTGGGAAGCATGCGTTTTGGCACAAAAACAACGTCGAATAATCCAAGTGTGCATGCGTGGATGGGCCAGGGGAGTCGGACTCCTACATGGTGAAGGTCCGGGCGTCCGCAAACCTTCCTCGGTTTGACACCGATTTGCAGGAATTCGGATACTCAGACGTGTCCCCAAATGTTACAACACGATGTTGGACAGTAAAAACGTCTGAACACCATGATTCATACATTTAGGGGTGGTTTCAAGGTATTGCCTTTGAGATGTCCTTATGTTGCTAGATGGCGCTGCTGGTAATGTCGCGGTTGATTTTGGACAACTATAAGCCAACCGTGGCGCGACACCATGGAGTTCTTCATGCTGGTCGTGCCAGATCTTTAGAACAACTCTAGCAGATGTGCCATATTCCCATCCCGCAAAATCGTTTTATGGTTCCCCCTGAAACGATTTAGCGGGAAGTGATGTCCTCCAGCAGAAAAGATCCTGCAAAAGCTTGCTGCAAATTTAAAAACATAGATAAACCATACTTCTCGCTACAAAGTTCATCACAAAACACACCAGAATTCATCATACATAGATAAAACGCGGAAATAGTTGTGGAAGCAGCGATGGCTTAGTGCTTGACGTCGAGGAAGAACGCCTCCGTAGACTTGCGGCAAGCGTGGGTGAAGGCATGCTCCTCCTTCGCCGCGCCGAACCTGTGGGCGGGGCCTTCTTCCCCGAGCTCAATGGCGCGCTCCGCGACGAGGAGCTCCGCATCCACCATGCGGCAAGCCAAGGTGTGTGAATAGGGCTCCTCGTGGAGGCAGTTGAATTGGGCCCAAGGGAAGCGCCCGTCGCTGAGGGGGGGGGGAGACGATTGTGCTCCCGCGCCTGCTGTGACGGCCAAGCTTCGACGGGGTACGGAGGGAGTTGCTAGCCTCCGCATCGTCGCAGAAGATCTTGCACGGCGGCGACCTGCCACGACCACTACCATCACGCTCGCGTGTGGATCCTGCCATCACTCGTCGAAAAAAAAAAACTCTGTGCCAGGTGAAATCGCTCGCCGGAGTGAGAAAGGGAGGCGGCAGAGGAAATGAGAGACATGAATACTAAATAGCATGCCGTCTAGTAGATATAGCAACCGAAGGGCGTTTTTGCGGGCCGCTCGTACCATTTTTACGGGCTTGGCTAAATATGGCGTATTTATTCGAGTCATAAACACGCAAAAACGCTATATGAGTCGGAATTATGTGGTGGGCGAGGTTATACGACATGCTCGCACGTGCCCAGCCGAAGGTAGGTTAGCCTTGAGCGTAGGTGGAACGACAACAACACTGCGATATTTTCTTTTGGGTTGACATGAGCAGTACGTAATACTCCCATTAATCCCCATTGAATCTACATTTACAAAAGGATGTAGTTAGGTCTCAGTCGACTAAGATTTTTAATCAAATCTTAATCAAGTGACATAACTTGTAACAAAATTAAAAAACCTTTTAAATACGGATTTTAATATAAGATCTCACGAATATATCGACTGAGACTTAACGAAGACTCTCTCAACTGAGAATTAACAAGACTGTTTAGAAAAGAGTTAATTACACCTGTAGTACAACAACTTGCTGTGAACTAACAAAATCATACAAAAACTAAAGAACCCCAGAAAAATGGTACAATAACTTAACTAACAGCACACTTTGATACAATTTCCGTTTAAATTAACGCTGCACAGTCTGTGGCTGTTAACAGCGTGCACGCCAGCTGACGCTCTCCCTCTGTCCTGTGTGGGTCCTACTTATCAGTTGGACAGTGCAAAAAAAAAATCAAAAGCTGCGCTGCCGTGATTAGAACCTGCGACGCAAGCATACATGGTTAGGCCCTTTACAACTACACCGTTAAATTCTTTTTGTCGGTGTACAGCCAGTTACCTTTCAATACCGTAGTTTTAGACACGTGCTCAGCGATGCCGACCACAACCATTTGCTGAATTATCGACTTCCGTTTATGTGTGTGTGTGTGTCTTTTTGTTTCTATTTTCATTTGCTTTTTATCTTTTTTCAGATCTTGGATTTTCTTTTGTTTTTTCTCATTTTTATTTTTGCATATTTCTTTTTTATATAGGTTCTGCACTATACTATGAACTTTTTTTCAATGTACACACTGAACTTTTAGTATACGATAAATATTGTTAAATACACACTAAACATTACTTTATAGTATACGGTGAACATTTTTCTACATACATTGAAGATTACACAAACATTTTTTTAATACACACTAAACATTACTTTATAGTATACGGTGAACATTTTTCTACATACATTGAAGATTACACAAACATTTTTTCAATACACGCTAAACATTTCTTCAATATACTGTGTGTGTGTGTGTGTGAAATGAAAGGGGTTCCCCCCTACCCCAACTATAATCCCTTGGCGGCTAGGATAAACTCTCTTCTCTAGACTTCACCGGCAAGCCTGTGGATTCGCCTCCCTCTACCCGCCGCACCGGCGGTTGGTGGCGGGGAGGGGAATCCCGGTGCCTCCACTCCGTTTAGTAGTTTAGGTTAGGGTTTTTTAGTCCTGGCAGGTGTGACACACCCTCGGAGGAAGCACTCCCGGTGGAATGTTGGCAAGGGCATCCACCCGAGGGGGGCAATGTTGAGGCGCGATGGATTCGCCGTCCGGAAGGTTACCCACCGCGCCGCCTGCTGTGGATCTAGAGATTCCGCCTCCTGGATCGCCCAGAAAAGGAGCTCCATGTCGCTGCAGCCGTAGTCGCCGATGAATTTCACGAACTCCTCAAAGTTTGCATGTTGAATGATGTTGGTGAAAAGATCTGACCACTCCTTCCAATCTTGAAACCGCTCCAACACCACCCTCCGCGTCTCCATGCGCGCTTCTGGCGAGCTTGCATCGATTGGTGGAGGCGGCGATGCCACAGGTAGCGACACCGGCCCCGCTACTCTCGTCGTCGGGTTTAGCTAGGGGGTCCTAACTTTGCGACGACGAGTGTCCACCATGAGGCTCGATGGATGAATTGGAAGGGCTTAGGGAAGGCGCAGTAATGCAGGTGGGTGGGAAGGCAGGAGGACGGAGAGGGATGAATCGCCTCGTCGTCATAGGTCCCAAGGAGGAGGAGGAGGAGCGAGAGACATTTTCCATCGCCCCGCGCTTCTGATATACAGTGATTTTCTTAATATACATACCGAACCTTTTTTATAGAACATATACTAAAAAAATTCCTAAAGTATATTTTTCTATTTTAGTAGGTTTTAAAAAATCCAGTTTCTAAAAACAATAGCTGGATTTGGGGTGAAAACAGACTAAAAAATGTACTCAAGTTATCCAATCAAACTGCATTGCAGATAGATGTTGTTAGCAGATGTATTCAAGTATTTAAACATGCACGTTGAAGCATATGACAACCGACATGTGTGTCTAAACTATTAAAGCTAGTTTTGTGAGAACGTCGAAAGGCTACAAGGTTTTGTCCGAAACGGACGCTCTGTCACATAAACAAATGGAAAAGGATAGAGTATATGCACCATGATGTTAAAATGTAAATTAAACTAATAAGCAGCAGTCTATAGTTTATTGGCGAAAGGCCATGATGTTAACGTTTTTACGAAAAACCTCTTTACATCGCTTAACTAGTTCGTCGAACAGGCAGCACATGTCTGTAAGCAAGACTATATAAATATTCTGCCTGAACTTCAACGTAAAGACCGTAGTGGTATGGGGGTTCGGTGGTGTAGTGGCAGCAAGCGCAGACACGCAAGGCTAGGTCTGTGGCTTGAATCACGGCAGCCCTGCTTTTCAATTTTTTCTTATTTTCACTGTTCAACTGACAAGTGGGACCTACATAGTCAGAGGGAGAGCGTGAGGCGACGTGCACGCAGTTAACAGCGGCAGACTGTGCAACGTTAGTTTTAACGGAAATTGTGTTAAAAAGTGCTGTTAGATAAGTTAGTGTACCATTTTTCTGGGGTTTTCTAGTTTTTGTATGATTCTGTTAGTTCGCTGCAAGTTTTTGTACTACAGATGTAATTAACTCTTTAGAAAAAGTCCCAACGACCGCAGAGGGGAAAGCAAACATGCAGTGTAGGCCGCCGAGTCGCCGTGCCACTTCCCGGCCACGATCCCGACAGGAGCAGGAATGGAGGGGAAATAGGCCAACAGAAAGTAAGCAAAAAAGCAGAGGCAGGCAGGAAGATTCCGCGCCGGCCGTGCGATTGCGATGATTGGATTTGGCAGAGTCGTCCTGCTGAATTCTCCCAGCAGAGTTGGAGATGCTCGCCCATGTCAGGTCGGTACTCGCCAACGTTTCGGCAGTTGCGCCTACTGGTGCTCGGGTCGAGCCCAGCACGTGGTGGTGTTGTACCGTCCCAACGTGCGCCGGTCTAAGCCTAACGGCTGCTCAGCTCAGGTCGGGCCGATTACGTGGTGGCGTTGCCTCGAACCCACGACTGCGCGGCGACTTCTCCTCACATCCTCTTGCTTAGATTATCATTTATCAATACAGTACATTGACTACAAGTTTCTCCACAGTTTATTTTTCCTTTTTGATTGATGAAAATGTTATGCGTTGGACATGACAGACATGTAATGCACGATTGCACTAGATTCAGGCAGGAGCGAAAAATTCCACTCCGGGGAGAAGCGGAGACTTGTGACTTGTCATCCGTTAGAACGCCGCTGTCAGTCGTCACGCCCAAGCAAGCAGCACCTTCTCTTGCCCCCTCCCCTCCGTCCGTCCCGCCAGGCCGCCACAACAAAAAACAACAGCAGCGAATCAAAGCTGCGTAGCCTACGCACTAGTCTCCCAATCCGCTCCCCACCCAACCCCGCAACCCCGCGACACGATTCCCCACCCGATTCTCCTCTCGCCGGCGGGATCGATCCGATCGAGGTTGATTGGGGGAGAGCGAATGGCGCGGTGATCGGCCGGCCGGTCGGTCGGTCTATCGGCTCGATGGCGGCGAGGCCGGGAGCAGGCGGCCGCGTGCGCTTCAACGTGGGCGGGCAGGCGTTCGAGACCACCACCACCACGCTCGCCAACGCCGGCCGCGACTCCATGCTCGGCGCGCTGCTCGACGCCTCCTGGAACGTGCCCTGCGCATCCGCCGGCGGGGAGGACGCGGCCGCCGAGTACTTCATCGACCGCAACCCGGCGTGCTTCGCGGTGCTGCTCGACCTGCTCCGCACGGGCAGCCTCCACGTCCCGCCGCACCTCCCGGAGAAGCTGCTCTACCGGGAGGCGCTCTACTACGGCCTCCTCGACCACGTCCGCGCCGCGCGCTGGGGGACCTTCGACGGCGACCGCCTGCGCCTCGCGTCCTCCGTGCCCGGCCGCGCCCCCGGGGATGGCACGGCCGTCCGCGCCGCGCCCGACGGCGGCTGCTGCGTCGCGCACGGGGGCGCCGTGCACGTCTACAACTGGATGCTCGACGAGCGCCGCCCCGTCTCGCTCGACCACTCGCAGGTCAACGACGTCGCCTACCTCGACGCGTCCACGCTCCTCATCGCCGCGCGCGAGCGGCTCGGCAAGTGCGACGGCGGGATGGCCGCCTTCTCCGCCGTCTCCGGGGACCTCCGCCACCGATTCCGCGTCCAGCACGACCGCCAGGCCAAGTCCTTCACCGCCGGCGCGCTGGCCTTCGACAGGGACTCGAGGATCTTCGCCAGCTGCAAGGGCCGACTCAATGAGTACGGCATCGGCGTCTGGGACAGCGCCACCGGCGAGCAGGCCGACTTCTTTTACGAGCCACCCGGCTGCGCCCTGGGCGACGCCGACAGGCTCCAGTGGCTGGACGCCACCAACGCGCTCATGGTGGCCACGCTGTTCCCCAAGACGGACAACTGTTCCATCGGCCTCCTGGATTTCCGGGACAAGAGCGTGGCCTGGTCGTGGTCCGACGCCGGCACGGCCGCGTCGCTCGAGGAGAAGCGCGTGCTCCACGCCATCGCCATGGAGGACGAGCGGTCCGTGTGCGTGATCAACCAGTACGACGACCTCGGGTTCCTGGACCTGAGGAGCAACCCCGGCGCCGTGCGGTGGAGCTCCCGGAGCAAGCTGATGAACCGGAAGGCGCCCGGCGAGGAGAGCTGCTACCCGAAGCTGGCGACGCACGGCGGGCAGCTCTTCTCGTCGATGAACGACAGCATCTCCGTGTTCAGCGGGCCCGAGCACGTGCTGACGTCGACGCTGAGGCGGAGCTACGGCGGCGCCATCTGCGACTTCTCCATCGGAGGCGACCGCCTCTTCGCCCTGCACAACGAGGAGAACGTGTTCGACGTCTGGGAGACGCCGCCGCCGCCGATCATCTGACCGCCAGCCTGCTCTGCGTTGCTCTGCTCAGCTCGCCGTGACTTGAGCCGCACTGCACTTGTTGTGCTCACTCAGCAGAAGAAAAGAGATACTGCTACAGTAGTATTCAGAAGGAATGGTTACACCTAACTGATGATGATGGGTACTCATCACAGTACACTGTAGCTCTCGATCAATCTTAACTGGAGCACTAGAGTGTACGCAAGCTTTGGTTTCTAACCCAGAAAAGAGAAATTTTCGACTAATACGTACGGGGCATCATCCTTTTACGCATGCCATCACTAGTAGATTTTGCTTGCCCTTCCAATTCTTCTCGTCGGAACATCTATTGTCGGCATCAGGCGTTGCCCTATCAAGATCATCACAAGGTTGATTCTCAGCAAAGCATGTTTTGTGAATGCTAAAAGATATCTTCCGCTGCACTTGATGAGGAGGCCCCGTACGCCGTACTATCATATCCATCTGAGCCGTGCTTGGGGCCTGCATTTTAGAATTGGTGACTCGCTCGAGGACAGATTTGGCTGTCCTGTTTAGTGCTCAGCAATGTCGGCCACAATGTTTAATGCTGAATTGGAACAGTGCCCCTATCTGTTTCACATACACATTCTCTGTCACGTGCTTCTTTCTTTGAAAAAAATAAACAAAACATGTTAGTTTTTCTTTCTTTAAAAGAGTTTCTGCTGTTCTTCAGTCCTGGCCCTAGCAGTAGCAGCAATGCCAGTGTGATTGTGATGCTGCTCCATAACTCATCAGCGAGAAGCTGCAGCACTGTCTATAATCTTTCATTTGTGGCTTTTCTTAGCTCTGCTCAACAGAGCATGTATGTGCAGGTGGGCGAGCTTTTGCTTTTTAGAGTTGGTAACGAGTATACTAGTATCATTTCGATCTGGGCGCATCATATCCAATCCAACATCTTGTCCTCTACTTGGAATTGGAATGGAAGGCACATGACAGGTCGGAGTAGTACTGCGGCTGGAGGCCACTCACGGGTTATAGTTTATTGTTTATATATACACACACTTGACGTAAAGGCTACACGAAAAGGATGTATGGCTTTGGCAAGGTAGGCATTATGATGGAAATTATTGAGTTCATTCCTGTGGCTGAGCCGTAGTGCAGTGCAGAGATCTAGAACTACGAAAGATGGTCCAGATAAGAAGACGAGTAAAAGCTGCAAAATACAGATCGAGACCATAGCACCAACAATGGAGTAGGTAGTCATGTTTACCGCCAGGTTTTCGGATACTTTGCCATCTTTTTTATTAGCAGTTGGCGGCTGCGTTTTTTTTCTATATGGACCGTTATCATGATGACAGTGGAACCCTGCCGAAACGAGTGGTGGATACTTCAGCTCCTGGAACGAACGTCAGAAAGAAAAGAGTGGACACTGTCTGAGGGAGAAAATAACAAGGGAATGAACAGATAGAATAAAGAGCCGGTTGCTCCTGTTAAATGGCCTTATCATGTATGGTGTAGCAGTATGACAATTGAACTACCGTAGTACGAATGCCTATTGAACTGAAACGTGTATGCTCGTAGAATTCTTCCCGTATAGGAGTACTTATTAATGGAGGGAGGCAATTAGCATTCTTCAGACGGCACGTTGGGTGCAAGGCAAAGTACGTACTACAGACTCTACAGTACTTACAGTCAATACTAGTCCTAATTATAGATCCGGGTATTTCGACATACCATAAAAATGGCGAGGGTAGAAACAATGTTTGCTACAGCAGCAACACAATCCGCGGAGCAAGCAGTTGATTCGTAAAGTCATCAGGCAAACGAATGAAAAGCTCAAATGAGGTTCTGCAACTGTTCACTTTTCTTCGGTAAAATATGCAGTAATGGAATAAAACATGCATTTTTATAGTCTGTCAGACAAAACAGTAACATTTCAATAAGTACATTACGACATGCAACCTGATTGGGTACCAATATCAGATCAATCAACCCTTACACTATACTCACAAAACACTATATGTGTTTCCTTGGTCAAGGACCAATGGATCAACAGTCAGCTTCTGCCATAGATGGCGCAACTGCATTCTTAAATTGATCAAGAAAATATCAACTATTTAACGACGTACACAGCAAGGACAAATTGATTTAACATGAACCGAGAACTTAGAGGTAACATACTGCAGCAGATTACGATTGGACAGCAGTGTGAAAGAAACAGAAGATTATGGCACAAAGAACTCATTTGGGTCAGGCAGGTGTATGAAGATCGGGAACCTAAGCTATAGTGTCGTTCCAATCAGCAAGATTTGCAATTGAAAACTTGCTTGTTTAAGAAAAAACATGAGAATCACCAGTAGTAAGGTGTGATAATAACAACTGGATGATAAATAACATAGGAATCACCAGTAGCAAATGAGACGATAACACCAAGATGATGATTAGAACATAAGTAGTGTGTAACACACGAACACGATACTGCTCCCAACTTAAGGTAGCTCGATCTTGCGCACACCGCAAATTATTAACCCTCTTTGATTGCTACCTTAGTTCTCCACCGTTTCCTCCTCGTCGTCACTGACCTCAGACTCGTCATCCGCATAGCCATTCGCGTAGTACTGGTCGATGAGGGTCTGATTGTAGGCATTTATCTTCTGGGCCTTGTCCTTTTTCTCAGCGTAGGTTTCGCGGTATTCATAGTCCTTCTCGGCCAGCACGTCGTCAGGGAGCTCATCGACGAGCTTGCAGGGATTTGCAATCAAAAAGTCGATGAGTGCCTGCGGCAACCTCCTCTTGACCACCACCTTCCTCTTCTTGCCGGACCCGGACGGCTGTGCATCCTCCGCCGTGGTCCTGCGGCCCAGCCACCGGCGACCCTCCGCCGCTATTGCCTCCGCCAACTCCTTCTTCCTCTTCAGGACTTCAGTCCCCTGCGACGCGCGGATTTCACCCCGTTCCGACGCGCTCGCCTTATTCATCTTCCGGATTTCAGACCCCTCCGACGCGCTCGCCTTCTTCCCCTTCAGGATTTCACCCTGTTCCGCCGCGATCGAGCCGCCGATTTTACCCTCCATCGCCGACGATCGAGCCCTAACCTCTGGTCTGTTTGCCCCGCAACCGACGCGAACGTATCCTGTGAAACCACTCGATTCGATCGTGCACCAGGTGCGCCAGGGGCACTTGAGCCGTCAAATTGACAAAGAAGGGACGAGATCTAACCACCGAGGTGGGCTGGTGATACAATTGCAAAGCAGACCTTGGAGTATCATTAAAACTTGTGACCAGTCCTTTCCAAGACCGACTGTAGTATTGTGGCAGACCAAAGCTAAGACAAAATTCAGGCTTTCTCCCTTTGCCCTCTCCCTTACGAGGCATCGCATTTCTCCCAATCTCACTCTCCTGTACCACTTAGACCCGAGCTTTTTATTACTCTACTCCGATAGATACAGAAGCGAGAGGGAGAGACGGAGAGTACGAGTAAGATATGCACTCTTGACCATGCACTCACAGATAGTTTGATAACCATGCACTCTCCTGCCGAGTTAAAAGAGATTATTTCGATTGATAAAAAAGGAGAAAATGTATGTTTTTCTAGGAGGAAATGTATGTGTAAGTGCATCTAGTGCCATCCCTAATTGGTTTTGAAGTACTGACGACAAACGTGGTTGAGAGACTAATGTGTTTGTGAGAATTGCAGGATAACACAGGTGGAAGTCCCTCATTGATTCGATTTACCTACCAGAGACGACCCCTAAAAATGTATGAAGACATTGAAAACAATGGTGGTTCTTGAATACATTCACGTCGAAGACAATGACGTGTGAAGACATTCACTTGAAGACAATGAAGTGCGAAGACATAGTTTCTTTTGTAGTTTCATTTTCTTCTTATTTGAGTCATAGGAACCACCGTACTGTTAAGTGGGGTCAAAATGAACAAAGTCAGAAGACTGACGTGATGCTCAACCAAAATCCTATGTCTTCGAGTGAAGACAATGAGAGCAAATCTTATCCAGAGTTGGATGAGTCAGCTTTGAAGGAAATATGCCCTAGAGGCAATAATAAAGTTATTATTTATTTTCTTATTTCATGATAAATATTTATTATTCATGCTAGAATTGTATTAACCGGAAACTTAGTACATGCGTGAATACATAGACAAACATAATGTCACTAGTATACCTCTACTTGACTAGCTCGTTGAATCAAAGATGGTTAAGTTTCCTAGCCATAAACATGAGTTATCATTTGACTTGACCCATTCCGTTAGCTTCGCACTTGATCGTTTAGTATATTTCTATTGCTTTCTTCATGACTTATACATGTTCCTATGACTATGAGATTATGCAACTCCCGAATACCGGAGGAACACTTTGTGTGCTACCAAACGTCACAACGTAACTGGGTGATTATAAAGGTGCTCTACAGGTGTCTCCGAAGGTACTTGTTGAGTTGGCGTATTTCGAGATTAGGATTTGTCACTCCGATTGTCGGAGAGGTATCTCAGGGCCCTCTCGGTAATGCACATCACTATAAGCCTTGCAAGCAATGTGACTAATGAGCTAGTTGCGGGATGATGCATTACATAACGAGTAAAGAGACTTGCCGGTAACGAGATTGAACTAGGTATTGAGATACCGACGATCGAATCTCGGGCAAGTAACATACCAATGACAAAGGGAACAACGTATGCTGTTATGCGGTTTGACCGATAAAGATCTTCGTACAATATGCGGGAGCCAATATGAGCATCTAGGTTCCGCTATTGGTTATTGACCGGAGATGTGTCTCGGTCATGTCTACATAGTTCTCGAACCCGTAGGGTCCGCACGCTTAACGTTCGAGGACGATTTATATTATGAGTTATGTGTTTTGATGTACCGAAGGTAGTTCGGAGTCCCGGATGAGATCGGGGACATGACGAGGAGCCTCGAAATGGTCGAGACAGATATATTGGACGACTATATTCGGACATCAGAAATGTTCTGAGTGATTTGGGTATTTATCGGAGTACCGGAGAGTTACGGGAATTCGCCGGGGAGTATATGGGCCTTATTGGGCTTTAGGGGAAAGAGAGAGGGGAGGCTGCGCCCCCCCCCTCCCAAGGCTTAGTCCGAATTGGACTAGGGGGAGGGGTTGCGCCCCCTCCTTCCTTCCCTTCTATTTTCCCTTTCCTTGACTCCTACTCCTACTACTTGGAAGGGGGGAATCCTACTCCCGGTGGGAGTAGGACTCCTCCAGGGCGCGCCATAGGAGGCCCGGCCCTCCCCCTTCCTCCACTCGTTTGTATACGGGGGTAGGGGGCACCTCTAGACACACAAGTTGTGTTGGAAATATGCCCTAGAGGCAATAATAAAAGGATTATTATTATATTTCCTTGTTCATGATAATTGTCTTTATTCATGCTATAACTGTATTATCCGGAAATCGTAATACACGTGTGAATACTTAGACCAAATACGTCCCTAGTAAGCCTCTAGTTGACTAGCTCATTGGTCAACAGATAGTCATGGTTTCCTGACTATGGACATTAGATGTCATTGACAACGGGATCACATCATTAGGAGAATGATGTGATGGACAAGACCCAATCCTAAGCATAGCACAAAATCGTGTAGTTCGTTTTGCTAGAGCTTTTTCAATGTCAAGTATCTCTTCCTTAGACCATGAGATCGTGTAACTCCCGGATACCGTAAGAGTGCTTTGGGTGTACCAAACGTCACAACGTAACTGGGTGACTATAAAGGTGCACTACAGGTATCTCCGAAAGTGTCTGTTGGGTTGATACGGATCGAGACTGGGATTTGTCACTCCGTATGACGGAGAGGTATCTCTGGGCCCACTCGGTAATGCATCATCATAATGAGCTCAAAGTGACCAAGTGTTTGGACATGGGATCATGCATTATGGTACGAGTAAAGTGACTTGCCAGTAATGAGACTGAACGAGGTATTGGGATACCGACGATCAAGTCTCGGGCATGTAACGTACCGATTGACAAAGGGAATAGTATACGGGGTTGTTTGAATCCTCGACATCGTGGTTCATCCGATGACATCATCGAGGAGCATGTGGGATCCAACATGGGTATCCAGATCCCGCTGTTGGTTATTGATCGGAGAGCCGTCTCGGTCATGTCTGCGTGTCTCCCGAACCCGTAGGGTCTACACACTTAAGGTTCGGTGACGCTAGGGTTGTAAAGATATGAATATACAGTAATCCGAAAGTTGTTCGGAGTCCCGGATGAGATCCCGGACGTCACGAGGAGTTCCGGAATGATCCGCAGGTAAAGAATTATATATAGGAAGTGCAGTTTCGGCCATCGGGAAAGATTCGGGGGTCACCGGTATTGTATCGGGACCACCAGATGGGTCCCGGGGGTCCACCGGGTGGGGCCACCCATCCCGGAGGGCCCCATGGGCTGAAGTGGGAAGGGGAACCAGCCCATAGTGGGCTGGTGCGCCCCCCTAGGCCCACCCCCTGCGCCTAGGGTTGAAACCCTAGGGTGGGGGGCGCCCCACTTGCCTTGGGGGGTACTCCACCCCCCTTGGCCGCCGCCCCCCTTGGGAGATCAGATCTCCAAGGGCCGGCGCCCCCCCAAGGGGCCTATATAAAGGGGGGGGGGAGGGAGGGGGCAGCCGCACCCTTGCATCTTGGCGCCTCCCTCCCCCCTGCTACACCTCTCCTCCTCCGTCACGTGCTTGGCGAAGCCCTGCCGGAGTGCTGCTTCGCCACCAACACCACGCCGTCGTGCTGCTGCTGGAGCCATCTTCCTCAACCTCTCCTTCCCCCTTGCTGGATCAAGAAGGAGGAGACATCATCCGCTCCGTACGTGTGTTGAACGCGGAGGTGCCGTCCGTTCGGCACTCGGTCATTGGTGATTTGGATCACGGCGAGTATGACTCCATGAACCACGTTCTAGTGAACGCTTCCGCTCGCGATCTACAAGTGGTATGTAGATGCAATCTCTCTCCCATGACTCGTTGCTTAGATGAACTCATAGATGGATCTTGGTGAAACCGTAGGAAAAGTTTTTATTTTCTGCAACGTTCTCCAACAGTGGCATCATGAGCTAGGTCTATTGTAGTTCTCTATTGCACGAGTAGAACACAATTTTGTTGTGGGCGTAGATCTTGTCAACTTGCTTGCCGCTACTAGTCTTTTCTTGCTTCAGCGGTATTGTGGGATGAAGCGTCCCGGACCGACCTTACACGTACGCTTACGTTAGACAGGTTCCACCGACTGACATGCACTAGTTGCATAAGGTGGCTAGCGGGTGTCTGTCTCTCCTACTTTAGTTGGAGCGGATTCAACGAAAAGGGTCCTTTTGAAGGGTAAATAGAAGTTGACAAAATCACGTTGTGGTTATTCGTAGGTAAGAAAACGTTCTTGCTAGAACCCAATTGCAGCCACATAAAAGATGCAACAACAATTAGAGGACGTCTAACTTGTTTTTGCAGCAATTGTCATGTGATGTGATATGGCCAGAAGTTGTGATGAATGATGAATAATATATTGTGATGTATGAGATCATGTTCTTGTAATAGGAATCACGACTTGCATGTCGATGAGTATGACAACCGGCAGGAGCCATAGGAGTTGTCTTTATTTTTGTATGACCCGCGTGTCATTGAAGAACGCCATGTAAATTACTTTACTTTATTGCTAAACGTGTTAGCCATAGAAGTAGAAGTAGTCGTTGGCGTGACAACTTCATGAAGACACAATGATGGAGATCATGGTGTCACGCCGGTGACGAAGATGATCATGGAGCCCCGAAGATGGAGATCGAAGGAGCTATATGATATTGGCCATATCATGTCACTACTATATAATTGCATGTGATGTTTATTACGTTTTATGCATCTTATTTACTTAGAATGGCGGTAGTAAATAAGATCATCCCTTATAATAATTTCAAGAAAGTGTTCCCCCTAACTGTGCACCGTTGCTAAAGTTCGTCGTTTCGAAGCACCACGTGATGATCGGGTGTGATAGATCCTTACGTTCACATACAACGGGTGTAAGACAGATTTACACATGCAGAACACTTAGGGTTAACTTGACGAGCCTAG